CTACATTTAAAACTTTTGTGTCAAGTAACTTATTATATAAACTATTTTTAGCACTTAAAATCCAGTCATTTGCTAGATAAGTTGTTGCCAAGCAAAAAAAAAAAAAAAAAAAAAAAAAAAAAAAACACAATAGGTTAAATCTCATTTGGAAACTGCATTTTGAAGGTGGTGAAATAAAACCTTGGTACTGTCAGAGCAGTAAAAATGCAACAGATGTCTGTCTAATAATCATAATATTTCGGCGTATAGCAAATAAGACCGTAGATGTTTAAGAATATACAATTATGAAATTGAATTATCACTACATATATATATATATATATATATATATATATATATATATATATATATATATATATATATATATATATATATATATATATATATATACAGCAATGTATGTATGTGTGTATATGTCTTTTAATCAGTACTTCATGGCGTCTGTAAACTCTCGTCACGGATGGCTGCTTTAACGGGGGGCGGAAATAGAGCGGGGGTAGGGAAGGTGGGTGAGGATTCTCGTCATTTACAAGATAATGATAGTGTTTTAAAGCAAAAAATATTCAGTCCCATCATTGGTAGTATGGAATTCACCAATTAAGGATTACTGAAAAGTAGAAAAATAAAAAAATAAAAAAATAAATAAAAAAAAATAGCAGCGTATGTTACGTCGCAAGTCGGCTCGCAGTAATTAATACATGATTACAGTTAACGTCTGGACTGAGATTTAATATTAAATTTAAAATATAATAATTAAAAATGATACTGATTGAATGAATTGCGTCCACGCTATTGAGTGCTGACCACACTATCTCTTCATATGCCGAGGTCACAGAAACAAGTGAACTCTACTTCACTTGCCCCATAGACCGTCAGGTTTGAAAGGGAAACTTTACTTTACTGAGTAACAAGTATCGTACAGTTTTCTATAGAATGCCGAACTTGCATACATTGCCGATTAAATGTATCAATATTTATCGAACACGTTATATGGCAAAGACCTTATTTAAACAACTACGATCTGCAATAGCTTAATATGTTTTTATTGCGGACTAAAGCTGTAAATGCAATTCATCAAGGGAGCAACATTAAAAAAAAAAAATCTGATCTATTATGTAGACATATGGGCTACATGCTATAGTTCTACAGTGCTCTAACTTTAGCCATCGTTCTCTATCAAATCGCAGTGTAAGCCTTGGTCATGAGTTTATACGGTTACTTCGTGAGAAACACCTACTAAGCTGTAGGCCTACACGTTTAATGAATCATTCTAAACACTAATCAATAACTAAAGTAAAAAATATAGTCAATAAATATATACATTTTAAATTAACAATTTTTTTAGACACGACGAATAGAAATTGTATTTTAGACATTATAACCTATGGATTTCTAAGACTTTGATCTGATGTAAAGAACGTGGAATTACATACGATCAAAATTAATTAGTCACTTATATACTTATAAATTTTATTGTCTCTTATAAAACTACAGGTTTTCTAGACTTAATTTAGCATGAAATTTTATTTTTTGCAAACTCTACGAATTGTAGAAAAGTATTTTTTCTAACTAATGTTGTTATAAATAATATAATATACACTGTTTTGGATGTGTTATTTTTCTCTGTGTGTAATTTATAAAATATATATTTTACATCCTTTTGAGTATCTAGTTGTGTAGCCTCCCTTGGTAATTTAAAATTTACAAAATGAAATCATTGAATACACATTTTAAAAGTTAACATATTTTTTTAAACTTTCAACTTTGGCGTCAAATCGCAGCATCTAGGTTGTTGGCTGGTACAAAAATCGTATGTATGTATTTGTATATCATCAGTACATTTAAAATAAATGTATTAAAAACATGTGGAAGAACATAAAGAATGTTTGATTTGAAGTATTTGATTGTACTGAAAATATTCCGGCTTCTTATAATATTTACAATATTTGTTTTTTTTTTATCCAAAATTTCATTCATCTATACTTAAAAGCCCAAACCCCCTCAAACCACCATGGCGATAAAAACAATCCATTGAATCATCATTAAATTACACATTTGCATTTTCACGTTTAAAAACAAGATTGTAATTAGGCGTTTTGTATTATGTAAACCATCTAAAATGAAGGAGAGTCAGAAGGAAGTATTATGATTGTTAATCTGTATCAGTCCTTACAAGCCGATGTTGAAAAATGAAAAACTAAAGCGAACATGTCATGGCAAACTGACGCTGTAAATTACATGACGGAGGCAAAAAAAAAAAAAACTTTTCTGACAATGTAACACTAATAAAGAAGAAGAAAAAAATACCCATCTATCATTGAATCACCCTTGTTTTACACTTTTACATTTGAATATAATATCAATTGTAAAATAAATAAATGTTGAGATTGCTAAACAATCTGTCACTGTTAAAACCATGTTAGAAGATTTGGGTATGGATGAGGTTGAAGATGAACCTGTTCCACTACCTAATGTTAATGCTGCTATATTAAAAAAGGTAATTCAATTGTGTACCTTCCATTTTCCCTATTGTTGATTTAGTTAAAACCGTAGACAATAATGATGGTAGACTACACGATGTAGGTTAACTTAAATAAAAATAGAGCGTACATTAAAAAGTTATTTTTTTAAAGTAGTATACATTATATTATGAATTGGAACAAGTTATCGTAAGCGTATTTAAAATATTAGAGTAATGTTATTGTTATTTTAGGCCTAACGGTATGCCCTACTTAATTCGAGTTTGTATTATCGTATGATTATATTATTTTATTTGTAAATGTTACATTTTTGGTAATCTTGATATTTTAAATTCGTGAAGCCAAGACTAAAAACAAAAAGCCGCCATGTTTTTTGTATCAATAGGAATCATGTTCACAAGAATTATATTTAGTTCGAAATTAATATTTATTCTTGGCTAACGCCATTATGAATTTTAAGCGAGAGAGACAGAGACTTAAAACTCATTTTACGACTGATTAAGCTCCACGTATTCTAGACCTATGCTAGATTATACACTTTGATCTGATGTTAAGGAAACGGAACTATTTTATAGCACTTATTTTTTTTTTATTTGCAATTGAAACAATTAACATCAAACATATAAGTGGTAACATATTTACATAGTAGAATATTCAATACATAATTGATTTGAATTGATGTCATTACAGTTTGTACATTAGTAAATACAAGAAGAAAAGGAAGAACAACAGAAAATCGAAAAAGCAAAACTATCAACTTGGACACTTTGCGCAGAAAGTAACTAAAACCTTTGTTAGGATAACGCGACTAGATCTAGTCTATATCTATACATAATTTTCCAAAATATTTCTTTTCGTTTGATATTTTTTTAATAATACTTTTATTTGCACTTAAAACAGGTTGGCTACATCAAATCAATTTTTGTCGTAATTTCGAACTATTAAAGCGAAAGGTTTTGCAAATGTAGATAATAAATATTTACATGATATCATGTATGTGTTTTTTTAAAAAATTGAAAGGGATAACAGTAAAAGGGGTGAAGATCAAATGAAAGTGTCAGGACTCCAGGTGGGGAGTGGAAAGGAAATTGTTCAAAGAGAAGGGGGGGGGGTCAAAGTGACAGTGAAACATTTTCTATGTAGGGAAACAAAATGTGTTAACCAGTTGAAAGAGTGTTTATTTATATACGGGTCGCATTGAGTTTTCAAAGGTTGCTGTGTGAAAAATGAGGGGAGAGAAGCAAGATTTAGAACTTTAAGTAAGTAAATGAATAGATATTCGAGATTGATGTTGGGGTGGGTGGTGGGGTCGTTGGAACAATTATGGGGGATGTGGGGTTATCATGTCTGAGGGTGAAGTGGACAGAGGGGGAGTGGGTGGATGTGTCTGAAGAGGCGTGGAGAGGGTGACTGTGTGTGTTTAAGGCAAGCCAAGCGTCAAAGCCTGTGCTGTGTGATGTACCTGCTGAGGTGATACTATTTATAGTGTGTGTGATTCAATTATCCACTTATAATCCCAAAAAAGGAAAGACCGAACCCTGATTGATTTAAATTTGTCTTAAATAAATGTTATTTTACCTTTTAAAACTATAGGCTTTAACTTTTTTATTTAAGAAAAAATTCTATTTGTTTTAAAGTATAAAAATTGTTATACTATAAAAAATCATTATATTTAGTTAATTTCATTAAAAATTATATTAATTACAATTTTGTGCACGTTTCTTTGAGTATAATCTATAAAATGTATATTTTAAGGACTTTTAAGTATATTGTTGTGTAGTCTCCCCTGGTAATTTAAAATGTACAAATCGAAATCATTTTAAAAGTAAACATTTTTTTTTTTAACTTTCAACTTTGGCGTCAACTCGCAGCATCTAGGTTGTTGGCTGGTACAAAAAAAAACGTATTTATGTATTTGTATATCATCAATACATTTAAAATAAATTGCTTAAAAACATGTGGAAGAACAGCTATAGATATGTTTGAAAATGAAGAATGTTTGATTTTAAGTGTTTGATTGTACTGAAAATATTCCGGCTTCTGTAGTATTTAGAAAGTTTTTTTTTATCCCAAATTTCTTTCATCTACACGTAAAAGCCCAAACCCCCTAAAACCACCATGGCAATAAAAACAACCAATTGAATCACCATTTAATTACACATTTGCATTTTCACGTTTAAAAGCAAAATTGTAATTAGGCGTTTTGTATTATGTAAACCATCTAAAATGAATGAGAGTAAGAAGGAAGTATTATGAATGTTAATCTGTATCTGTCCTCACAAGCCGTTGATGAAAACTGTAATACTAAAGCGAACATGACAAGGCAAACTGACAATGTAAAAAACAAAAATAATAATAATAATAATAATAATAATAATAAAATAAAAAAAAAACATGTATTGAAATTTTCTGACAATGTAAGATTGAAAAAGAAAAAAAAATAATACCCTTCTATCATTGAATCACCATTTATTTACACTTTTGTATTTGAATATAATATCAATTGTAAAATAAGTAAATGCTGAGATTGATAAACAATCCGTCACTGTTAAAACCATGTTAGAAGATTTGGGTATGGATGAGGATGAAGATGAACCTGTTCCACAACCTAATGTTAATGCTGCTACATTAAAGAAGGTACTTCATTGGTGTACCTTCCATCGGGATGACCCTCCACCACCTGAAGATGATGAAAACAAAAAAAAAAGAACAGATGATGTTTGCTCCTGGGATACAGAATTTCTTAAAGTTGACCAGGGCACCTTGTTTGAGTTGATTTTGGCTGCCAACTACTTAGATATCAAAGGCTTGCTTGATGTAATAAACTATTAGCACTATAAAGTTTGTTACATTTTAAATATTTTTTTGTTACAATAATAATAAATATAATGAACAAGGATTTACAAAAATTGTTTTACTACATCTGGGGTATCGGTTTTATATAATTTTGATATAATAGTTCAAAATGGTTTCCCATATGCATTTAAACATATTTAGATGGGAAAAAATATAACTATCCAGTTACAGCAGTGCCGTAGTACAACTCACGCTAATACTACACGTACATGCTGTACATTATAATATTATTACAACTTGACAGTAGTATATTAGGTCCCTTTTGGGTCGGTTTTTTGGCGGAGCAGGATGTGGGAAGGTACAATGCCATATAGCAAAATACTCGGGAGCAGGGAAGGGTGAAGGTACAATGACATATAGCAAAATACTCCCAGCCTGGCGCATCGGGATGTGGAGGGTGGGTGAGCAGGATGCGCTGCAGGTACAACGACATATAGTAAAATACTACGCCAACTGGGGTTGGCGGAGCAGTGAAGGGTGAGTCACCTTTTGGTGACCTTGTGACGTAATCATTGACCTTGTGACGTAATCACCGACCTTGTGACGTAATCAGTCACATTGTGACGTAATCATTGACCTAGTTACGTAATTTTAATGTGTTTTTTAATGAGTTTTAATGAGTTTTAAAAATTTTAATTAATTTTTGACCTAGTTACGTAATTTTAATGTGTTTTTATTACGTAATTGTTTAATTTGTTTGATTTAAATTGTTTAATTACTTTGTTTATATTGTGTAATTTTTATTAACGAGTTACGTAATTTGATTATTTGTTTACTTTTTAATTATTTTCTATTTTGTTTATTTTTAATTTTATTTTATTTTATAATTAGTTAAATTATTATTAACTAGTTACGTAATTTGATTTTAATTTTTTAAATTTTTAAATTTAAATTTTAAATTTTAATTGATTTTAATTACTTTGTATTTTGTTTGTTTATTTTGTTTGTTTACTTGTTATTTAATTTGATTACTTTGTTTATATTGTGTAATTTTTATTAACGAGTTACGTAATTTGATTATTTGTTTACTTTTTAATTATTTTTATTTTGTTTATTTTTTTTTTTGTTTAATTTGTTTGAAATTCATTTTAATTTTTATATTCTCCAACACAACGACCGTGTATTCATTTTAATTAGTTTGCTTTTAATTTCTTTGTTGTACGCCGTTTGAAATAAAAGACTAACACTAGCGTGTACTAGAAAGTGTCATTGTGTATAACATCCATTTAACCACAGCTGTTACTTATTAGCGACAGCTTGTACTTATCGATCCGCCCGTGAGCCTCCCCGGCGCTCCCCGTGGTTGCTTAATAGCGGACTCATTGAAGCGATCACAACAGGTAATTAATCGAAACCATTAAGTCCCTCTCCGCGTTAAGTGTGGCGACAGCTGGTGCTGTAATTAGTCACGGCTCTCGGCTTTTTTCATTAGACTTCAGCTGTACATGAACTATGTTCACATATCGTACGCCCGGTCATTCTTTGATCAAATTAAAAAATTTTGTTTCCACATGTCCTGCGAACCGTCCCTTGCTATGTATGAAAGATTAATGGTTGTAACTATTCGCTTATAGCGAGGGTCAGCGAAAACAAAAATATATTTAAGGGTCGGAATTTTCTTTCAACCACCGTTAAGTCAGGTTTTGAGACGAAACGAAGTCTCGGTAGGTTCGTGTTTTTTAATGGGCGACAGGGCGACTTGATGCGTTGGTACGTAGGTATGCGGGGTTAAGGTTCTATAACTCTATATATTTAAATACGTTTTTTTTTTTTTATTCAAATGAGTTTACTCCCCCTAACGTAAGTACATGTAAAGAGGGATTTCCTATAGATCTGTAATGAATTAGGCCTTTTTGACTATGACTTGTTGCCCAGGTGTTGACATGATACGCTTTTTTGAGATATACATACACACACACACACACACAAGCACACACACACACACACACACATGCGCGCGCGCGCGAAATTCATACTAGGTCGGTAATGGCGGAGAGAACTTATAGGTATACATTATCATGGCGACAACAAAAGCGACTCTTATTTTATTTACATGAAAGCGTGTTTTCCAAAAAGGGTCACCATGCCATTGTCATTTTCGCAGCGGGGTTTATTTTAAGTGTACCCCGTGCACGGTTGTTTACATTTTAAAAGACGTGTCGCGTGTCTTCCCCTTACGGCTTCCCTAATAGAGAAACGAGAGGAAAGACAACTGTTCTAAAATTAGAACAGACTTGTCTACACACACGAGTATCGTCCCTTGTGAAAAAAAAAATTCGCGTCAGATTCCTTAACTAAACAGTCAATTTCTTTAACAAGTTAAAAAATAATTTAGGAAGACAAGGGTTAACAACATTAGACGCTACCGTTTTTGTTTCCTGTGACGACAAGGCACAATACACTTTTGTATTTTATGTCTCAAGTAGAGGGTGGGATATTTTTTCTTTGTAAGCGTGTTGTAAACAATGGGTAGAGGAAGCGATTACTAGGTAAGAGGGGAGAGAACGTGACGTACATCGCGATATTTGAAAACATGGCGATGTTTAACCTCAACCAAAAAAGGCAATGAACCTAGAAGGAAGACGAATATATATCTTAGTCTTGCAGCAGATTACCTCCCCATGTTCGCTTTAGTATTACAGTTTTCATCAAACTTCTTTTTGACTTGAACTTCGTTAATTTTTAAGAAAGTTTACTTATACATAATACACTACGTCTAATGACAAGTTTTTATTTTTACCACTCAATGTATTTTCTTTTTCTATACCTTACATTGTCATCTTAATTTTTGATCACCTTAGTAAAAATTTGCTTAAGATTATAAACTTCAAGTTTTAAAAAACAACAACGTCGTGTCAAATGACACACCGTTTAAAATGTCTACATTTAAAGTTCACCAAAATAATGACGTAAAAACTAAATATCATATGACATTAGCATACATATCATTCAATCTAATCACTCTAAAGTACAAATCAATAATTTTTATTGATTAAGGGGCTGGGTGAGTTATTTTTTATTCGGGTGCCCAGGGAAGGTTTGGAGTTGGCTAGGGGCACCGTTCATACTAGAGTCGGTGACGTTTTCACCGAGGCAGGGTTCGAAGCTAGGACACACATGTTTTGGAATCGTTAGGGGTCGAGTCTATAGTAGGGTCGCGGGAGTTTTGTTAACACAGAGGGATGTTTCGAAGTTGATACATCCATGTTTTAGAATTGATAGGTAGAGAGTCCATACTAGGGTCGGTGAAGTTTTCACCGAGGCAGGTTACAAAGTTGGGACATGCATGTTTAGGAATTGTTGGCAGTCGCGTTCATACTAGGGTCGGGGAGTTTTGCTAACACTGAGGCAGGTTGTAAAGTTGGTACAGGCATCCTTGGAATTGTTAGGGGCCGTGTTCATACTAGGGTCGGTGAAGGTTGGTTTTGAACTCGGAACATGTATGTTTTGGAATCGGTAGGGCTAGAGTTCATACTAGTCTCGGTGAAGGTTGGTTTTGAACTCGGAACATGCATGTTTTGGAATCGGTAGGTGTAGAGTCCATACTAGGGTCAGGGGAGTTTTTGTTAACACCGAGGTAGGTTGCAAAGTTGGTACATGCATGTTTAGGAATTGTTGGTAGCCGAGTTCATTCTAGTGTCGGTGAAGGTTGGTTTTGAACTCGGAACATGCATGTTTTGAAATCGGTAGGTGTAGAGTCCATACTAGGGTCAGGGGAGTTTTTGTTAACACCGAGGTAGGTTGCAAAGTTGGTACATGTATGTTTAGGAATTGTTGGTAGCCGAGTTCATACTAGTGTCGGTGAAGGTTGGTTTTGAACTCGGAACATGCATGTTTAGAAATTGTTGGTAACCGAGTTCATACTAGGGACGGGGGTGTTTTAACCGAGGCAGGTTACAAAGTTCGTACATGCATCATTGGAATTGTTAGGGAGAGTTAAACTAAGGTCGGTGAAGTTTTCACCGAGGCAGGTTACAAAGTTGGTACATGGATGTTTAGGAATTGTTGGCAGTCGAGTTCATACTAGGGTCGGGGAATTTTGTTAGCACTGAGGCAGGTTGGAAAGTTGGTACATGCATGATTGGGAATCGTTGGTAGCCGAGTTCATACTAGTGTCGGTGAAGGTTGGTTTTGAACTCGGAACATGCATGTTTTGGAATTGTTGGTAGCCGAGTTCATACTAGTGTCGGTGAAGGTTGGTTTTGAACTCGGAACATGCATGTTTTGGACTCGGTAGGTATAGAGTCCATACTAGGGTCGGTGAAGTTTTCACCGAGGGTGATTTCAAAGTTAGTACATGCATGTTTTGGAAGTGTTAGGGGCCGAGTCTATACTACGGTGGGATGGTTTTTGTTTTCATCGAGGCCGGTTTCAAAGTTGTTACAGGCATGTTTTGGAATCGATTGGTGTAGAGTTTAAACTAGCGTCGGGGGGAAGTATGGGTTTCACCGATGCGTGTTTCAAAGTTGGTACAGGGATGTTTTTGAAGTGATGAGGGAAGAGTTTAAACTAGCGTTGGGGGAGTTTGGGTTTCACCGAGTTGTGTTTCAAAGTTGGTACAGGGATGTTTTTGAAGTGTTAGAGGCCGAGTCTATACTAGAGTGGGAAGGATTTTGTTTTCACCGAGGCAGGTTTCAAACGAGGACCATCCCTGTTTCGGAGTTGATCGGGGTAGAGTTTACACTAGAGTGGGACGGTCTTTTTGTTTTCAACAAGACAGGTTTCAAAATTGGTACATGGATGTTTGGTACAGGACTGTTTTGGAATCGGTGAGGCAAAGTTAAACTAGGGTCAGGGGAGTTTTCAACGAGGTTGGTTTCGAAATTGGGGCATGGATGTTTCGGAGTTGGATGGGAACGTTGTCACTTGTGACAGTAAACGAAGGGGGATAAATGTTTGTCTGTTACTTTGTCCTTTGTCTGTCCAAGGGAATAGTGTGGGTAGTGGTATGGTGTGTTTATCAAGCGGGTGTTTAG